GGAATGCTGTTGAAGATAAACCTGAGTCTTCCTTTACTCTTCCTTGGGGTAAGGCCAGAATTGCTGGCACCAGTTTCCCCCGTGGTTGACTGAAGGTCTCCCAGGTGGCGGGAGCATAGACCTGCGGTGGTGGGCGTTACATGGTCCACACCTTTGGGATCAAATGACTCTGGTGATTTACGAAAGTCAGATAGACTGGCTATTCTTTCTTCTGAACCCCTAGCAGCCCCCTGGCTAGCTTAGCCCAGCCCATCCCTTGTAACAATACAGAACATATTGCACTCTAGACTGTAATGGTTGCTGAATACAGAACATATTGCACTCTACACGGAAATGGTTGCCATATACAGAACATATTGCGCTCTACACAGTAATGGTTGCCGGATACATTACATATTGCACTCTACACGATAATGGTTGCCGGAAGCAGAACATATTGCACTCTACACTGTAATGGTTGCCGGGTACAATACATATTGCACTCTACACGATAATGGTTGCCGGAAGCAGAACATATTGCACTCTACACTGTAATGGTTGCCGGATGCAGAACATATTGCTCTCTACTCGGTAATGGTTGCTGGATACTCATAGAGGCTCACTGAATTGAGAGTACTATATTAAGTTGGATTAGGGCATGGCTATACATAAGGAAACAAAGAGGTAGTATAAATGGGGTTAAGTGGGAAAGTGGGAAAGTCAGAGTGGGAAAATGTTGTAAGTGGAGTGCCTCAAGGCTCTGTCCTGGGACCTCTGTTATTCATAATACATATAAATGATTTAGGTTTAGGTTTGAGGTAATACTTGCAAATTTGCCGATGATACAAAAATTAAGTTGAAATATACACGGAAAAAGACTCTATCACTTCAAAACGATCTAAATAGGACGTTGAAATGGTCAAAAGATTGGCAAATTCAGTTTAATGCTGACAAATTTAAGGTTTTGAGGCAAGGTAATGATGATATTGTTACAAGATATGAGCTAGATGGTGTTGAGATTGCAAAGTCGGATTGCAAAAGGGATTTATGATAAGTAAAAATTTAAAACCAAACAATCAATGCATAAATGTTAGTAATAAGACAAATAGGACTTTGGGATTTATTTATCAAAGCGTTAGTAATAAGACGCCTGGTGTTGTTCTTCAGCTATATCATGCTCTTGTTTGGCCCCATTAAGATTATTCAGTACAGTTTTGGTCGCCATACTACACAATGGATATAAATTCCTTAGAACGCGTCCACTGTAAGATGACGAAGTTAATTCCCCAAATTATAAAACTGTCATATGTAGAAAGATTAACAAAGCTTAAATTATGTTCTCTAGATCGGGGAAGAATGATGGTTGACATGATAGAGGTGTACAAGTGGATGAATGAACATAACAAAGGTGATTTTAATAAGGTATTAAAAGTATCAACACAAGACAGAACAGGAAATAATTGGCTTAAATTGGATTAGTTTAGATTTAGGAAAGATCTGGGTAAGCACTGGTTCGGTAACAGGGTTGTTGATTTGTGGAACCAATTACTGCATAACATAATAGAAGTAGGATCCCTTAATGGTTTCAAGCGTAGGTTAGACATATATGAATGAGATTGGGTGGGTATAAAGAGGAGCTGCCACAGATGGGCCATTAGGCCATCTGCAGCTACCTCCATTCTAATGTTCTTAAACAGAACATATTGCACTCTCGACGGTAATGGTAGACGGATATAGAACATATTACACGATGCACGGTAATGGGTATCTAAAACCGAACAAAGTTGTTCAACCAGCAAGGTAATTATAATTTATTAGTTCCATGTTGTGGTCAGCTAATATTACTTACTGGTAGAAAGTTTTTTCAACAAAAACTTCCCTAAAGTTGTAACTGTGACCATCACTGCAACTAATAATACCACCAGTACGACTGCAGCAGGAGAGATTACTCATCTCCGTCAGTAGTCATGTCACACCAGGCAGACACCGGCCGTCCCTCCCTGTGGGAGAGATTACTCACCTCCGTCAGTAGTCATGTCACACCAGGAAGACACCGGCCGTCCCTCCCTGTGGGAGAGATTACTCACCTCCGTCAGTAGTCATGTCACACCAGGAAGACACCGGCCGTCCCTCCCTATGGGAGAGATTACTCACCTCCGTCAGTAGTCATGTCACACCAGGAAGACACCGGCCGTCCCTCCCTGTGGGAGAGATTACTCACCTCCGTCAGTAGTCATGTCACACCAGACAGACACCGGCCGTCCCTCCCTGTGGGAGAGATTACTCACCTCCGTCAGTAGTCATGTCACACCAGACAGACACCGGCCGTCCCTCCCTGTGGGAGAGATTACTCACCTCCGTCAGTAGTCATGTCACACCAGACAGACACCGGCCGTCCCTCCCTGTGGGAGAGATTACTCACCTCCGTCAGTAGTCATGTCACACCAGACAGACACCGGCCGTCCCTCCCTGTGGGAGAGATTACTCACCTCCGTCAGTAGTCATGTCACACCAGGCAGACACCGGCCGTCCCTCCCTGTGGGAGAGATTACTCACCTCCGTCAGTAGTCATGTCACACCAGACAGACACCGGCCGTCCCTCCCTGTGGGAGAGATTACTCACCTCCGTCAGTAGTCATGTCACACCAGGCAGACACCGGCCGTCCCTCCCTGTGGGAGAGATTACTCACCTCCGTCAGTAGTCATGTCACACCAGGCAGACACCGGCCGTCCCTCCCTGTGGGAGAGATTACTCACCTCCGTCAGTAGTCATGTCACACCAGGCAGACACCGGCCGTCCCTCCCTGTGGGAGAGATTACTCACCTCCGTCAGTAGTCATGTCACACCAGGCAGACACCAGCTGCCCCTCCCTGTGGGAGAGATTACTCACCTCCGTCAGTAGTCATGTCACACCAGGCAGACACCGGCCGTCCCTCCCTGTGGGAGAGATTACTCACCTCCGTCAGTAGTCATGTCACACCAGGCAGACACCGGTCGTCCCTCCCTGTGGGAGAGATTACTCACCTCCGTCAGTAGTCATGTCACACCAGGAAGACACCGGCCGCCCCTCCCTGTGGGAGAGATTACAACTCATAAAACACCTCAACAATTCACCAGGTGAAAGCCTGGACATCACTCACATATTGTGGGAAATGTCCAGCAGCTACATAAAACTCTCCAGAACTAAGCATGTTTATTATAACTATGGAGACAAAGCCCACATCACGGATAAAGTCGTCTTGTGTGAGTCCAGGACCCGCACTCCATTTTAGTATGACTCATGCTGAATTACGAAAACTGAGTCACTTGTATTGTGTCACTCATCCTGAGGCACTCATATTGAGTCACACTGACTCAGTTTTTTGAGTCACTTAACCTGAGGCACTCATACTGAGTCTCATTGACTCAATGATAAATCACTTCTATTGAGTCAATTATAATGTCACTCAAACTGATTCATTTATACTGAATCATACAAAGTCACTCCTACACAGTTGCTCATTCTGAGTCACCCTCATGGAATCACTCAATCTAACTCACTTTGAATCATTTGAATTTTGTCATTGTTACTGAGCAACTGCCATTGATTCATTAATACTGCATCACTCGTGCTAAAGCACGCATAATCGGTCACTCACACTAAGTTAGAAATCTGTGTCACTATTAGTGAGTCACACGTCTGAGTTGTGGGAAATGTTTATTATATTGCCTATCATCGAGGTATTTGGTGGTGTGAGAGTATGAACTCCTCCTAAGTGTTTCCCCTAGCAACACCCTCTCAACGATAGTCTGCACGCTGTGGTACCCTACTCACCACATTTCTCCAGTCAGATTTCTTCCCATTTAGCACGACCTTTTGTTTTCTTTGTTTTAACCATTGTTTTATTCATTCCAGTGTTATATCATTTATTCCATGGGCCTGTAATTTCCTTGCTAGTCTTTCATGTGGTACCTTTTATCAAAAGCATTATCAATGTCCATAAATACTACATCTGCTGGAAATCCTTTGTCTGAGTAGCTCGTTACCGTTTCCAAAAATGTGATCTATTTTTAACAAACCCATGTTGCGTTGATTTTACAAGATTGCTCACTGTGAGATGGTGGATGATTCTCTCCCTTAGGATTCTCCTCATGAGCTTGCAGATGTGTGATGTCAAGCTAGTCGGACGCAGGTTTTCTACTGATCTTTCTACCTTTTTTTTGGAAATAGGGGTGACAATGGGGGGTAGAAATAGCCCAAGCTACCTTTTGAAATGTATCAGACTGTCTCAATAAACGTACTTGAACTTGAAGGGGTGACATTTGCTTATTTCCAATCTAGGGAGAACTACCCCGTGGCCCAGAGATTTTCTGAAAAGAAGTTTCAGTGGTAGGTACAGTTCCTCTGCCAGTTCCTTTACGGCATTGAATTTAATTCCGTCCACACCTGGAGTGTTTGAGTCTTATAGTTTGTCAGTGTTCTTCCTGATAATGTCGCACATTATGGGTATATATCACTTAATTCATTCTCTTCACCTCCTTCAAACAATTGTGTCGGTAATGGGATACCATCTAATCTTTCTAGTGTAAACACCGATGTAAAGTATTCATTCAGAGTGCTTGCTGCCCTTTTATCGTCCATTATAATTTCGTTAGTCTCATCTTTCTAGGGTCCTACAAAGTCTTTTGTTTAGTTTTACTTCTTATATAGATATAGAACGACTTTGAATCTTTTTTAATATTTTAAGCAAGTTGTTTTTCGTAGCTTCTTTTCGCTGATCTGATTTCCAGGGTGGCTCAGTTTAAAGATTTTTATATATCTCATAATCAATGATGTTCATCATGGATTTATACCTCCCCTAGAGGGCGTTTATATTATATTACTAGCTATACCCGGCGACGTGTTGCTGTGGCTCAGCAACACATGTGCGTTCCTGAGCATCAACAACCTTCCCCTGTCTCCCAATCCTCCCCACCATTCCTCCTGCCCTGTCCCCTCATACTCCCAACCATTCCTCACCCATTCCCCCTTCCTCCCAAGCATTCCTCACTCACCCGTCCCCTCTTCCTCCCAACAATTCCCCACTCCCCCATCCCCTCGTCCTCCCCACTATTCCTCCCCCTCCCCGTCCTTTTGTCCTCCCCAACATCCCCCACTCTTCCATCCCCTCGTCCTCCCGACCATTCCCCCCACCCCCTCGTCCCTTCCACCAACCCCTACTCCTCTGTCCCTCTTATCCTCCCCACCGTTCTCCATTCCCCTAGCCCCCCTCGTCCCCACCAACCACAACTGCCCCGTCCCCTCGTCCTTCCCACTATTATCCCCTCCCCTGTCCCTTCATCTTCCCAAACATTCCCCTCTCCTATCCCCTCTTCTTCCCCCAACATTCCCCACTCCCTCATTCGATGCATTCCCCTAACGATCTGATGCTCTCATCAGAAAATTTGGAACATCAAAGGATCTGATGTTCCCATCAGAAAATTTGGAACATCAAAGGATCTGATGTTCCCATCACTGAAATATAAGAAAAACAGCTAAAAATGAAATGAGAATATGAAAAATAAAAAAATAAACTATACACACGAAATGAACGGTATGGTAAAAAACAGCTCAATTCCAATGCAATTCACACAGAATAATTTAATCAAAATGAAAATAAATCAAAATCTATGAAAATTCAATTTATTAATTCAATCAGAAACATTGAAATGGAATTGTAACATATTTAGTATAGCATGTGTGTTGCTCTTACATGCAATACAGGGGAGACATCTCCCGTCATGCAGTGTGCAGTCTCACCTCCACAGATGTCCAGTATCAGCTCTTGATACTAGTAATGGCTCAAAACGGCCACCACGTATGGGCTATTCATGCCCGTGCCACCTTTTGGGTGGATTAATCTTCATCAATCATTACATGCAACAGATGGCGTTGTTTTCCAAAAAATGCATAATTTTACCTGTCACAGGTGTGGCATCTATACTAATACTTACGAAATGAATGATATGGTAAACAACACACCTCAATTCTAGCACAATGTATTATAGACTGTGGGTTGGTTGGTGTTGTCGTCGTTGATCCTTCTCTATGGACAACCCAACCCACAACTCGGCAGAGTGCTTATACTAGGAGATCACCCTTGGCGCTTCTGGCTCTTGGAGAGGGGCTCAACGTCACACGTTTAGGGGATGCGGCTCCAACACTTAGCCTCGTTGTCACGTGCACACACCCACTCGAGCCGCTGTGACTCCCCACTCTCTCCTTATGAGATATGATCTCCTCAATCCCCTATGACTTACTAGTATTACCTCCTACCCTGTCCACGGCAGTGGTTCTTGGTTCTTTCTCTCTCTCTCTCCTTCTTTACTACCTCCTGGGAAGCCTCACTAGGACAAGGGCAAACACCAGCAAATTGTGACACATTTACTGGACAAAGCACATACACGATACATACACACATATAATAATAATGAATCCTATACTCTATAATATCACAATCAGGTTGCACTCCAACACCATCAGAACTCTATTATCAGCTTATCAAGTGGTATCCTATCTCCTGGTTCACCACCTGATACTATCAACCTCCTCAAGTTGATCAAGCCTACATACACTGTTGCACCATCAGCAAGATAACATATATATATAGAAAATCAGCATTTGAATGCAATAACATATACCAGTATAAATGTTCATTGATACTTCAGTATAAAAAAACTCCTTGACATAAGAATGCCAACAGTCACTCACCTCTCACTGCGTCTTGCACGCTAATGACAACCAAACACTATCAACTCCCTATAAGTAATCCACCAGAACTTCCCCTTCCACCTCTGGAAGTTCACTACCCTAATATCCTTAGGTTCTTCCGGGCTTCACTACCAGGATCCTCTGCAGCTCCTCCAGGCTGCTATCATGAAGTTTCCTTGAGCAACTACGGTGCTTCACCCTTCTGCTAGGGTCCTCCACAGCTCTCTTGGCTGCTTCACCATGAAGTTTCCCCGAGCAACTATGGTGCTTCTCCACCTCTACAGAAGCACGTGACACTCCTCTTCACTGCTGCTTCTCTTCACAGCTCGAGGTCCTCTGCTCCACTACCTTGGAGTCTCATCAGCTACTTCATCTGCTGGCTTCGAAGTTCTCAGCAACTTCTTCCCCAAAAGACAAACCTGCAACCCATCGACACTCCAATAAAATGTTCCCCTTTAACACATAAACAAAAATAACCACACAATATGCTTGCCTCAAACCTCTATCTGTTCTCTACATACAGTGAGAGTGGACTCCCCCGTTTTGGGCGGGTCCATACTCCACCTCGCCTGGCGGCGGTCCTCACTCGCTGGGAGGGTCTTCCTCCGTCAAGAGCCAGGCTCCCTCAGTCGTCCGCCAGCGCTCAGAGGGGGCGGACGTCGCTCCGTGCTCCTCCCTCTTCACTCTCCTATTTCAGGCTTTCTGCCTTATTAAAACATGTCTAACTTATAAATAAACATTGCTACTGTCGCTGGGCACACGACCAACTACAAGTGATCACTATGAACTGGCGTATATCGTGCTTACCACAGATTAACTGATCGAGGGCGCTTTTCCTCTGACGGCGTCTGGTCAGGGCGCTCCACACAGCCCACGAAAATGCCTCTGAGTAGCTTATTAAACTCTGCTCGTCGACCAGGACTTGATACCACAACGTTCCCAGCTCGGTTCCACAGCTGGCACGTCTACACACTTCTCTTCTCTTCGAGATATATCACTAGGGGGTTCCCTTCTGGCGGGAGCTCAAATGGAGCGCGGCTTCCCCCTGCGATGTCTGGCACTCAAGTGAGGTCAAGGTCCTCCGGAAGCGAGCCTCACGCCTCCAGCAAAATGTCCACATCTCCTCGCCAGTCATTTATCTGTTTTCTACTTCATTGCCCATGATCTCAAACTGTTATACATATCCAAGCAACTATTTTACATATGCGTTATCACTTCAATATTCGCTAGACCTTCTGATCAGGTCAGGCTTGACGAATAACTCTCAAGGAGGGAGACTCGTTTCTCCTGTAGGCTGAGATCATAACAAATGTCACACAAAATACTTCAATAAAAAATAAA